TTTCCACGATTTCCTCGTTTGCAGCGAAGAAACGTCGTTGATAAATACTTCACTCTCTGTCCTCCTTACAATCTTTCCTCGTTCGATCCTCTTGGAAACCAGATCTCCACCTGATACCCGCATTTTTCCGCGGTTTTCGTATTCTGCAGACGCGGAAATATGTAGATACGAGTAGTCTCACCGGTTCCTTCTTTCCCCCCTTTTTTTTGGCCACGATTCCCCGGAGGCTCTCAACACTCGACCCACTATTCCATCTCGAGGTCCTTTAACCTGACCAAACTCGCGGGATTTTTAACAACCGGAGCAAACGCCGCCGCAGGAACAGTCAGCGGGAATCGAAGGACGTCTCTCCGCGAGTTGGCAGCGATCGTGCGAGAAGCTTCTCCTGTCGAAAGCAGTCGAGTACTGTCTGCCTGCCTTCCAATTTTTTCTCTCCTGTATCGTCGAAACTGCGATCGCAATCTTCAGGATCCACAGCGCCACTTCTCCACCCTATACAATCGTGAGAACGAGAAGAAAGTTTACCGAGGCAACATCGTCCTCTCAGACGCAACGGAACTCTTGTTAAATCAACAGAACTTCTGGTTGAGTGCACTTTTTTCGGGAAAAGTGGCCGCTCCGAACGAACGCCACCCCATCCTACTTTCCTCTACTTCTTTCGCTCGCTTCTCCGTTATGATTACGAAAGTTACCAGGTTCAGCTGACGCGGCCTCGAGAATATCGCGAAACTGCCGAGGAAACGGTGAAATAATTCGTCCACGCGAGACTCGTAACCCGTGGTTCGTTTAATCGCCCCGTTTCCGGTTAACTTGCCACTCGTACGTCGTTTAAACGTTACGTCTCGAAGGAGAAACTCACGGCACACCAGTCGTACTATAGATACAAAAGGAAATTGTTGTTGAGAGATACGCGAATTTACGACGAACGATTATATCGTTCACGGTTAACCGCGAATTCGCTCCGAAAGAAATTTAATATTCCGGTTGCGCGCTCGCGGGGCCAGAGTAAACGCGGCGTTATTGATTTCCAAACGAGTCACATCTTTCGGGGGCACAAATACCGTCATTAAAATATACACAGTGTATCAATAGGAATTACCGTTGCGAGTAACAATTGGACCGGGGCTTTGCGAACGGAACGAACGAATTTTCCGAATCGAACGTACCTTTTTCCCCATCCTTCCGTTCTTTTATTCTGGAATACGTTTTTTTTAAGGATCTGCTTTTTGTCCAATTTTCCTGCGTCGTTGATAGCGTTAACGAAACACTCGTTGAAGCCGTTTGACGAGTAATCAGGCTCGTCAATCTGTACACTTTCCGTCCGCGATTTCGTTAGTCGCATGGTTTGAAGTGAGCCCTCTGGAATATTCGTATGAAGGGTTACGCGCGCGGTCCTCTCAGTCCATCCCGCTAATTACAAAGTTCATTACCTCGACGACGTGATACGACAACCACCGGTGCAAACACACACCTATGTCCTCGCGCGTGTGTATACACGTATACTCTGGTATCTCTGGCGGGTGAAGCTGGTGTTTAAGCTAGCGTTCGCAGCTTCAGCTTCGTGACAATCTGCGCCTATCCGTATCATCACCAGGTAGCCGCTATCAATCCGACCTCCATCAACGTCGAAACCGTTCCAATCCCCGTAGCTCGCCGCGAATCACCGTTTGCAAAATAGTCTCACGCGAGACAGTTTCCTCTGTTTAGAAAAAGGATCACCGATGTACGTGAATGTCGAATAATTCTCTTTAACCCTTTCGCGACGGCGGAACTAGCCATCAGTGCGCCACTAACGAACACCATACGCATTAAGAGTGTCTCGCGTTTTTTCAAATCTTAGAGGATTTCGTTGGAACAGCAGAGGACTTAAGAATGTATCGGATAAAGGGAATATCGAGGCCTTGTTCTGTATTTCAAAATAAATCTTCACTTTGAGTTGTCGAGGCGACGCGCTTAGTGGATGCCGGATATAACCGGCGCTAGTCGCGGAAGTGCAGTTTCCTCTCTCTCTCTCTCTCTCTTGTTCAGTTGCATCGTACGAGATATACCAGTGATGGCGAACCTGTGTCAGAATCGTTAATTCGGAGCTGAACCATAGCGAGTCCGTGATCGTACAAGGTCGTAAGCTAGGTTTTTCCCAATTTTGACACACCGAGCTCGAAAGGTTCGCCATCGCTGATATATACGGTGCATGTTGGAAAATTGAAACTTCGAAATTGTCGAGAGCATATAGACGAGCGGAGGATGGGACTTTAACTCGGTTGGAAAAATTCGGTTCTGAACGGCAGGTTCGTTAACGAGCTCTCCCAAGCCCGTCTGACGGTGCTTAAGTGGAGCTTCCGGCTCGGCGACGCATTAAAATTTAAGACCGCGGGTTCCCTCTAACTTTGCTCGTCGATCGGCTCGCGTCAAACTTTCCTGCCAGACGATATTTATGAGCCACCGTGGCAGTACCTTGTCTTGAAACTTATAAAATCAACCTGTCCAAACCTAGAACTACAATCGTGGTCCTTAAAATTCCTCGAATTAGAAAATGTTAGAACGAGAAGATTGAACTCACCGCTGTCGCGAAACGAACGATGTGTTTCCCGATATCTGAAGTAATACCTGAATTGGCTGGGAAGGAGTTAACGTAATCTCTGCGCAAAAGGTTCGAGAGAGAGGAAGAGAGACGGTAATTATTTTTCGATATCTACAATTTAGGAGAATTTTTCCAAGTTCTCCGGATTCGAACTCTTCGATCTTCAGGATCCACAGCGCGTCGCAGTCAAGCTGTCTTTCTCGCTTTCTTCTATTTCCATACGGATCTTCTCTTCTAAATCTACCGGAAAAGTAACTTCAGAATTGCCTGAGAACGAACTAACGTAATCTCGATGCAAAATTTTCAAGAGATAGGAAGAGACGTAGCAATTATTTTTCGAGGTCCACAATTTAGGGGAGGGAGATTTTCAAGTCCTCCAGAGTAAGGTTTCAGGATTCGAACTCACGATCTTCAGGATTCACAGCGCCACTTCTCGCTTTCTCCTATTTCCCTTCTAAATCTTTTACAAAGGTAATTTCAGAATTGGCTGGGAAGCAAAACTCAATGCAAAGGGTTTAAGAGAGAAGGAGAGATACAGTATTTTAGGAAAGTTTCTCCAAGTCCTCCAGAGAAGGAACGTCCTTTCAGGATCCACAGCGTCACTTGATCAGTGAAAAAAGGATCTCCTCCAAATCTACCACAAAACTAACGTCAAAATCACCCAAGAACGAAGAGAAGACGCAACACAAAGACGTTGAAGCCAGAATAAGTGTCTAACTAGAGAAAGAAAGAGAGACAAGACGCAGTGCGACGTCGCGGAATTACCGAGCATCCAGCTTACGCGTCGCGTACACGCTGCATCGTTACCTCGCGTCGAGGAGCGTGCGCGTCTGACTCTCTTCGATTCCATGCAAATGTAGCCGTGGAGAACGCAACCCTCGGCGAATTGGTAAACACCCCGCGTCGATATTGTGCCTCGTAACAAGTACATGAGGGAAGTTGGGTTAATACGGGCCGCAACTCCAACGATCTTCACCTTGAAGGAAATTCCTTCGAGGAACGAATAAAGGATGTACATACATACATACACACGTACACGCCGAAATATCCAGGCGAATTTTGCATTCATGCGAGAGCACGGTTTTTCAACGGCGCCTCCCTTCGTCTCTTGGGTATTTCCCCCTCCCCTCCTCCACTCCATACCTACCGAAATTACTTTTTGTCGCGTCAACGTGTCGCACTCAACGTTCGAGCCTCTGGTTTATTCAGCCCTGGGGCGCCTCTCGAGGAAGATACCTTTCGCAAACAACGAGGTTTATCGGGTAACGCGACCGAGAATCCTCGTACGGGTTGCTTCTATTTGTTGGTAAACGACGATGGAACGAGATGGTTAGGGGAGAGTCGGCGAAATCATACTGTTCGGATAAACGAACGAAAAGGGGGTGTGCGTTGTGGAACGTGACGGAAGGAACCCTCTCGCGACGAGTGGGGACACGTGTGATGGAAATTGATCCGAATTTGATAGATCGACGAGAGCTTCTTTGAGAAAAGAATTCCGCCCCGAAGAACACGTTCGACTCTCTTCTGTATCTACGCTTCTTCAACTCAGACGTAATTCGTTCGATTAAGAAAGGATAATCAGCGGATGAGACCGATGGAGACGAAGTGTCCGCGTCCACAATTTCGTCCTTCGCTCCGACTGCTCCACGGTGGAGCGCGTGGCGTCGGTTCATTTGCATCTAAACGAAAGGAGGAGGATGCAGAGATACGCGAACGGGTACCAAGTCCGGAAGCGACCTGAAAAGTAGGAAAGTCCACCTTAAAGTTTCATGCAAGGTGGATTTCGCAAGCTCCCGAATGGAGAGTGGGAAAGAAAGGAGGAGAAAGAGAAAAGAGAGGAAACGGAAAAGGAGGAATATAGGAGAGAGATCGAGACGCTCGAGCTGGTTCGCGCATAAATCTCCGCTTTTCGAGGTCTCGATTAACCAGCGGAACGCTGATCGGTTTCAAACGGGATGCACAACGATACAGAGCTGCTCTTAGTCGTCCAACGTCGTTAACACGATTACTGGACAACGACCACGCGGAAGCACTTTCCACGGCTGAACGGAGAGAACGATTGTTACAGACGAGAGCGGTCTGAGGAATATATTTATATGTAGGTAAATGTATGCGTGAGATAAGAACGATTTTGCTTGGTAGAATTCAGCGATAATCGTATCTATTCTAGACGTAGCACAATTCTATGTACATATGTATATTCACAAATCAAATTAGGCGCTCCATTTTTCTCACACAACGGACACCTCTTATTCCGTACACGTGCGACTTTAATCGAAGCTATTAATCGTAATCACGCGCGTCACTCTTTTACCAAAAAACATTTTCTCTCTGTCTCTTGCATATCAACGTTAACACCAAAGACGAATCAATTATTAATTCCGGTTTTATGTCGGTTTACGGATTTTTTCTCTGACAGCTCCAAAACACGACGTTTGATCAATCTACAGAGGGAGGATCCCTAGACGAACCGGAAGTGTCGTTCGACCAGGTACGATTCTCCCTTTCCCTCTTAGGCTTCGTAGAAGTCTTTGCAAAAACACTGGGGGTGGAAGGGTTAATAAACCTATAGAAAAGCATCAGTAGCGAAAAAAAAGGCATAAATCGAATAAATAAATATAAATAAATAACTAGAGATACATAAATGAGCGAACAGAAGATAGCGAAAAA